CTAGTAGCAATAGTCCCAAAAAAAATCCGTGAAAGTTGGGCAAAGTTCTACAAACCCCCTTTCTTGAATTTCTTAGCCTCATGATGTTTCTGACATTATAAAGAAAACAAGAGTAAATACTCATGTGCAATCCAAACACCAATTCAACTCTTTCATATAACATAAGATGTTAATGCTCAAAACTTACCGCCACATATGAATCCCATACTTCTTTTTCAGCTGTGACAGTGTTAGCCTCAGAATCCCAACCAAACCTTGTTGTTTCAATTAATGCCTTAAACTCCCTCGTGCTACGTCTAAGCCTATTCCACTTTGCTTTAAGCTGGTCTGATGTGAAATGCTTACAAAACTTAAGTGTTATTTCATTAGCAATTTTTATCCACGTTTTTTTGTCCAGAGTAGATGTTTGCATCCCAGTCTTTGACTCTTCATATAAGTTCCACATAAAAATCCTCAATTGCGGCCGGCCATTTCGTATTATCGTCATTATCACACATCTAAAATAACACTTTCATCATTAAAATAAATGTCAATTTGTAAAGTATACACACACACACGCGCGCGCGTAGGGGCTGATTTAGCCTCAATGGGAGGCCCCCAGGGGCTGATTCAGCCTCAATGGGAGGCCCCCAGGGGCTGATTCAGCCCCAATGGGAGGCCCCCATTGGGACTGATTATTAGCCCCCATTGGGGCCTCCCAGGTCAACCCTAATGGGAGGCCCCCAGGGGTTGATTCAGCCCCAACGGGGGCTCCCAGGGGCTGATTCAGCCCCAAGGTCAACCCCAATGGGAGGCCCCCAGGGGCTGATTCAGCCCCAATGGGGGCTCCCAGGGGCTGATTCAGCCCCAATGGGGGCTGATAATCAGCCCCAATGGGGGCCTCCCAGGTCAGCCCCAATGGGAGGCCCCCAGGGGCTGAGTCAGCCCCAGCAGGGGCCTCCCAGGGGCTGATTCAGCCCCAATGGGAGGCCCCCATTAGGGCTGATTATCAGCCCCCATTGGGGCCTCTCAGGTTAGCCCCAATGGGGGGCCTCCCAGGGGCTGAATCAGCCCCAATGGGAGGGCCTCCCAGGGGCTGAATCAGCCCCAATGGGGGGCCTATAGGCTGAATCAGCCTCCCAGGGGCCGATTCAGCCCCAATGGGAGGCTCCCAGGGAAAAAAAATCAGCAAGTCAGATAAAAAAATCAAAAAATTAGACAAAATACTAACCAAATCAAACGGAAATCAACCGATTTGGTTGAGTATATCAAGTCAAAATCATATCAAAAAAACCCATAAAAAATAACCAAATCAGCTAAAAAAACTCAACCAAAGTCAGGCGGGAAGGAAACCAAATCAGAAAACCCATCAAATGGAAAAATGTTTTTGTCTAGGGGCATACCTCGGTGAGAAGAGGGCGAGACGAGAATGGGAAGAACGGAGGAAACTGGAGGAGCCCTAACGGCTCAAGTCAGGCGAGAAGGAAACCGGAAAAAATGAATCTGGCAAGAAGAACGGAGGAGCTCGGCCGGCAAGAAGGGCTGAAGAATGGCTGAAGAAGGGCAGAAAAAAAACTAAGACGGGAAAGGCTGAAGAGAGAAAAGGAAAACGAAAATGAAAATGGAGAAAATGAAAACAACTTTTTTTCGTTTTCTGATTTCCACAAAACAACAAAAACGGTTTTGTTTTTGTTTTTTAAAAAAACTTGCACCAAACGCATTTTTAAAACCCGTTTTCAAATTTTTTGCTTCGAAAAATGTGAAAAATAGAAATGGAAATGGAAACGGAAACAAACAGGGCCAGAGGTTTTTTCAAATTTAGGGGATTTTATAAGCGATCAGTCTATTATCATATAGCCAGTTTTGTTCCCTATTTTCTTGAATAATTAATTATTTATTGAATAATGAGAAATTCATTTATATAATTATTTAAGGATTTTTTTGAAAGAGAAATTTATATTTAAACAGATATAGATAAACGAACAACACAATATAACAGAGAGACGGACATACACATGAGGCTCAAGAATGGGAGATAACATCAGCACACTAAGATAGAGCACAACTAAAGCTCTATTTAAAAAAAAAAAAACCCTCCCATCAAAATAGGCTTCTAAGCGCTGAAGGGACAAACACCAACCCTCACCTAGAGAGGACATTAACATCACGACACAGATAAGATTCTAACTTGACCAAAAATCCACACCGTCAGTGAACAACTTAACCGGAAGGGAGACATAACCAACACAAGACGGTAGAGAAACTGCCTCCGTTATTACAAAATAACAGACAAAAAGTGGCGAGAACAACATCGCCACACGTTTATTACAATCTAAAACATAAAGCAAAGCAAAAAGAAAATCCAAATCATCACTGGTGCAAGCCTCCAACGATGACGCAGCCGATGAGAGGACCACGAGGGAAAGAAGAAGGTTTCGAGAGCCAAGCGGTGAAGCTGTCGAAAAGAGACCATCAAATGGCAGCTAATAGAAAGAAGCACCAACCCTGCCAAAAGAAGCCCCCCGCCGTTAGGATTGAACCTCCGCAAAGACCTAGCCACCCAACATTGACGGTGCTGGAAAATGCCTCCCAAACGTTCAGTTTCTAACTTTTAAATGAAGCCTGATCCCCCCTAACCAAGCCATCTAACAATACACTGCCACCATTATTAAATAGCCCTTGACAAGATGAGCTCGGGGACCGATTTTCATGGCTGGGAGTCAGGCGATGCGTCCGGAGGCGGTGTCAGAACTATAGCCAACACTCAAGCTTCTTCTTCTTCTTCTTCCTCTCTCTCTCTCTCTCTCTCTCTCTGTGTCTCTGTCAAAAGACGGCTAGGGTTTCTTCCTTAATATATTTAAGGATTTGAATTTATTCTAAAAAGGAATATGTGTAAAGATAACAGTTGACGAAAACAATTAAGCAGAGTCATATTTGAAAAAAAATATTTTAACAAATCAAAATAAAATAGGAACACATGCAAAAGTAATTACTCTCATAAGAGTAAAGTGAGGAACAATATATTTTTTAAAAAACACAAAAAATTAAAATGTAAAAAAAATCAAAGAAAATAAAGATAAAAGAAGTAAAAAAGAAAAAAAAAATAGAGAGATAAGTGGAGAGACTGCCACATGGCAACCCCATAAAAATGATTTGATTCTTTTATGTATTGTTAGATTCCCCTTTCGTTTTTGAGATTTTATTTTTGAATTTCATTTTTTTGATTTTTGTTCAAATGGAAATGGTCACCGAAGTTTTAATAAGTTAATACTTGTTTTTATTTAACTCTTGGAAACAATACTAATGCCGTGTTTGGTAGGAATGAGAGAAAATACAATGGAAAGAAAATGTGGAAGTGGTGGAAAATAACAATGATAGAAAGTAAAATGTTTTTCCTTTATATTTATATTGTTTGGTATTAAGAGAAGGAAAGAAAATGATTTTACCTTCATTTATTTGGTGTTAGAAGTTGAATGGGAAGGAAAATAAAATCTTATTCAGAAATTACTTTTTTACCCCTATATAGTATTTGTAAAATGTTATTTTCTATATTATTTGTAAGTTAAAAGGCATAATAACCAAATAAAAAAAACATATATGTTTTATACAGTTACTTAATGTGAAAGAGGACTAGTATTTTTAACAGTGAAAAAATAGTGAATAAATTAAAAAAATATAAAACAATCTTTTAAAACTAAAAAGGACAAAAAACAAATATTAAGAGAAAGTCGAGGGACAAAATCATATTTTAAAATAACGTATCCTGAACAATACATTTTTCTATATTATTTGTAAAGTTAAAAGGCATAATAACCAAATAAAAAAAAACATATATGGTTTACACAGTTACTGAATGTGAAAGAGGACTAATATTTTTAAAAGTGAAAAAATAATGAATAAATTGAAAAAAAAAATATATAAAACAATCTTTTAAAACTAAAAAGGACAAAAAAACAAATATTAAGAGAAAATGGAGGGGCAAAATCGTATTTTAAAATATCGTATCCTGAACAGTACATTTTTCTCTCTATAATCCGTCTAAAATTGAAAAAGATAATTCGGGTCCGTTTGACGTTGCTTTGAATGTTGGTTTTAGCTTTTTTAAGAAGCTACGGCTGGCCAGGGTGTTTGGTAAAACCTGCTTTTATCTAGCAGTTTTTGAAAACTGTTGCCACGCAGTAGAATTTGAAAAGCAGGTCGACGGTTGCTTTTCTACAACAGCTTCTGCTGTCATTGTCCAAGTTCACTAAAATGACCATAATAATAAAACTTAATTTCCAATCAACTCATTTTATTTCTTCCAAATTAAATTAAAAATATTTTATTTTAAATGTTTATTTGAAAATTAAAAATCTTTAATAAATGTCTTATGCTGAATTTTAATAATATATTTTTGTTATAATGCTGCAAGTTTGAAAAACAATTTACTAAAATATATAATTTATCTCTTTGAATAAAACTAATTTATTTTTTAGAGATATTTTAATTAATAAAATGAAAATTATATTTTTTTTAGTATTTTGGTATATAAATATTATGAATACTATAAAAACAGAAATAAAACTAATAATAAGTATGTATGTTAAAGTATATCTTTTATAATTATTATACATCTTCACGATAATTTTATACATAATTTACTAAACACCTAAATTTTTACTTCTGATATTCACAATAATTATGAAAAAAAAAAATTACCAAACACCTGCATGTTTTTAATTACAATAACTTTTAACTAATAACACAATAACAACAGAAATTTTTAATAGCAATGCCAAACTGGCCCGAAAAATGAAAGCTTCCCAGCTTCCAAATCTAGCGATTGGGCTTATTGTTATACAAAGAAAGACAACAAATAAAGAAAAAAAAAAACGATTTCACAGACAAAAAAAAAAAAAAAAAAAAAAAAATTTCCAAAAAAAAAAAAAAAAAAAAAAAAAGAAAATCAAAAAAAAAAAAAAAAAAAAAAAACGATTTCCCAGAAAAAAAAAAAAAAAAAAAAAAAAAAAAAAAAACTTCTCATTTCACACAAGTATGGAAATTACAGAGGATAAAGGGGGAGGCATAAAATCCCCGACTTTACATGCGTACCCAAACTCTCAAGAGCCTCATATATGTATCTTTCTCACTCAAATATGATGCAGTTAAGTAAAGAAACAAGTTGAACCAACGACAAAAAAGAACAAAACAAAACCAAAAGTAAAAAACAGGACATATAAACTCTTCCAAAGAAAGAAGGTAAGGGCAACTAGAATAGATATAGGCATCAGGAAATGTCCCAGATATACTGCAGCAAAAGAACAAGTCAATAAGGTGTGTGGTAGTATCCTCCTGGTTGCCCCATGGTGTTGAACTGTGGCATTCCATAAGGCATCATTTGCTGAGGATTGGTGCCATAGCAGCCTGGCCCTCCAGCAATCTTGGCCAAACCCACTTGCCCTTGCATCCCTTCCCTTCCATATTGCTGCCACACATGCTGTTCCTGCACAAGCAACTGCTGCTTCCTCTCTATATCCGCTATCTGAACGTACGAAGGAGGCGGCACGGAGAGAGAAGCGGTGAACGGATCCTGATTGCCCACTGCTTGCTTCGTCCCGTCTGGTGCAGGCAGAGCCAGCACTGGAGACGCGCTCTTGCCTGGTCCAGGCAACGCCACACTGCTCGCACTTCCGCCGCTCATCTGCGCGGTGCTCACATGCTGTCTCACTGTCCCTTGATCATACATTCCATTTAGTAGCAATGGATCAAAACCTCCTGGTAAATCTGCCTTCTGCTTTGATAGATTGCTCGCAGATTCAACAAGTGCCAACTCCCAGTCAGCTTTGCCGCTCTCGGCAGCCGGGTTCTGCCACGCGGAGGTCATCTCGGGCTCTCCGTCCGTAGGGGAAGCGTCCCACGAACCATTTGTGTTAGTAGTTGTTGCAGGCCCAGAGAATAGAGCCAAAGCCAATTTGTTTCCCTGCTCATCAGCTGAAACACCATCATCCCCCAAATTCACCAAGTCCTCGGTCTCCTGCTGAGCCTGTGATGGCTTAGTTACCACTTCCGACGGCGGCGGCCGTGGTGGCGGCGGAGAGTAATTCTCCAGCGCAGGTAAAGCCTTGATCTCATTCATATCCTGAAGTGTCTCCTCCCCAACTAGCTCCTTCTCTTCCCTACTTCTCTGGGGACTTTTCGGTCTATTCTCCATCTCCTTCAAGAACCCCTCAAGCGTCCCCAAGAGCTTATCAGTTATTCTCTGAACTTCCGGGTACTCAGACGACCTCCCAATCCCCATATCCTTACACCAACCATAGAACCCGGCAAGCTCATCAATCATCTTCGCCGCGCCAACATAAACATTGAAAGCCTTAACACAATCCCCATACTCCATCTCCGTAAACCGATCCAACAAGACCTTCAACGCCTCGCAGACTTCAACATAAGTCCCAAAACTCTCCTTGATAATCCGGTAAAGCGCGACGATCACGAGCCTATTGCTTTTAGCCGCCCCCGCCGGCCTGCATGCCAGAATCCGGTCAAGAATCCGAAGCAACTGATTCAGCTTTGCCAACACCATTTCAGGCCACATTTCTCTCATAGGCGTAGTAGTAGCACCGGCACCTTCTCTTCTTTGCTCCAAATCGTTTAAATCGCCATAAGACCTCGATCTCCTCGGCAGTCCATGACCATACTCATCCCGATTCTCTCCACTCTCGCGACGATCTCTCGATTTCTTCTCGAACACGAAACTCTCGACCCTCTCGTCGAGATACGCCGCATAGAGCCTCACGAAGCCGGCGTGATCCCAGGAATTCGAATGCGCCTCGTCACGGAAATCCGACAAATTCAAAACCCTCATTCCCCTCCTCGTTGAGAACACGATTTCCTCCTCGAACGAAGGGTGGCCTTCGATCAAAACCCTGTGGACAAGCATCAGCGATTTGAGAGCCACGATCCAGTCACGAGTCTTCCCCAATCGCTTCGACACCGCGGCGAGACAGGCGCTCACGTAGCCGCGCGAGTAGCACGTTAGGTTGACGATTTCCCGGACGTACTTCTCGTCGGCGGGGTCTTCATCGTGGCTCGTGGCCTTCACGACGAGCACCTCCAGGTCCGGCGCAATGTTGCCGGCGACCTTGGCCAGGCTGATGCTCGTCTGGTCCTTCACGGCGCCAATCGCCTTGCGAATCGTGCTCGGCGCCATTGTTGAAGAATCAATTCAAACTATAAAGCTAAAATCAGGATTCCTGTTGGTGAATTACCTCTGGTTTTCTTAAGAAGAGATCGAATCGGAGCTCTTCAATGGCGGATCTTGTTGAATCGGAGATGGCGTCCGTACGATCGGATAAATGGAATCGGGGAGTCACGAATGAAGCGTTTTAGCTTTCTTCTTCTTCTTTTTTTCCTCTCTCTCTCTCTCTCTCTAAACTAGATGTTTATGTTTTTCTCTCTAAATAGTGTGTTTAGTACGGAGGAAGCAGAGCGCGAAGTGGCAAAGTAGCAAAAGCGCGTAATTGACGGCGAAAAAAGAAAAAGGAAAAATCTAATTGGACAAGTCGAAAGATTATTTGTAAAAGAAAAGAAAATGGTTTCTGACTTTTTATTTATCCACTCGTTACTCGTACGAAGAAAACGCTGTCGTTAGACCAGGTCCCTTGACCTTTCCCTTATTCTTTCATTTTATAGAGGAATTTGTTTTTGTTTTAATTAATTCATGAGAAGTTCCTTTAAATCTTTTTAGAATTAGTTTTTGTAGTGAAAATTATTCTACTTTAAACTTTAAGCGTCTCAAATTTTGTCCTGCTGTTAAATTTGGATAGAAAACGTTAAATTAATGGTAGTTAATTATAAATTTGTCCATTTTCTCTATTACACAGGCTATAATGCCAAAAAAATACATGAAATTAACAGAAACCATGATAAAAATGAAAGCATCCATTCTAGTTTATTTTCTGAACTTTAAAAACTCATTTTATCTTTTGAATTTTAAAATATTCCCACTAAATCTCTTCTCTTGTAATTTCTATTAAAAATAAATTAAAAAAAAAGTAATGCAGTCACATGATCTTTTTATTTAAATTTATGTTAAAAATAAATAGATAAAATCCACATGACCTTACTTAATTTTCTCTTTTTCCAGACAGAGTGAGAGTTTTTAAAATTTATGACGGTAAAATGAGAATGACTCCGTGGTTTAGAGGGCACTAATGATATTATTTTTAAATTAAATTAATGGCAGTTAAGTTATAAATTTGTTTAACATTTTTTAACAAGAAGATTAATATCTTCTAAACAAAATTATTGCTCATAACAACAATGAAGTGCTAAAATAAACTAGCAACAAATAAAATTTTATAAAACTGTTCATACCAGGGTTTCCTCAAAAACAAAAAAGACTACCATAATCATACATATCCACAAAAAGCACAAAACATCATTCGAAGATACATAAAGTAGATGATTTTTTTATAGGCAGCTTTGCTCAAGTTGGGGAGAGGGAAAAGTCAAATTTCTAATTAAACATTTGGTTCATAAATTTAAAATTATGATTTAAAATTATTTTCATTTTATGTGTATTTTTTGTAAGAGAAAATACTGTAATAAGTCCCAAACCACTATTCGAATCATGATACGAATCTTTCTTCCAAACGTCTATATCTCTTTGTTTAAATTCATGCATAAGAAAAAAAAATATAACGGCTTTAATTCACTTTTCATAGAGAAAAATAATTAGTAATATTCATAACTTAAAACTCATTAATGTCGAACTTTAAAGTGAAAAAAAAAAATCTAATACACACCAACAACAATAAAGTATAGAGAAACGTATCAACAAAATAAAAATATAAATAAAAAGTTCCACTATTTGAGCTTTTGTGTTTTATCTAAAACACGCTAAAAAGCATATTCAGTGAAAATGGAAAAAAAAAAAAAAAGATATATTACAAAATTATGACATTGCTTAATATCGAAGGTAATATTACAAGATTGCTATAGTTTTCCATCTAAATTTTAACAGAATTTTAACTGAAAAACTAAATTTGAAGCACTTAAATAGTTCAGGATTTAAAATAGAACAATGTTCACTACATGAACTAATTTTAAAAAGAGAAAAAAATTTTAAGGATCTCTCATAAATTTTCTTTTTTTTTCTTTTTTTTTTTTTTCTCTCTTTTAAGAATGGGTTTAATAATACATTCTGGAAGCCTACCTTTTCTGGAAGTCACGTCCTCTGTCCTCATGTCACAGGCGCTATCTTTTTGAGAGAATTACATATTACCCCCTTAAATCATCCTACTGTTTAAAACGACCCCTCTAGAAACACTTTACCCCTTTCAGATAAGAAAATCGGTTTTAACCTAGTTTTGAATTGTCCTTTTTGTTATGATATTTAATGAGACGTTTGATTTATAGATTTTAAATTATAATTTATAATTTTAATTTTTAAAATTTAAATTTTTTATAAAAAAAAAAATATAAATAATTAAAAATTATAATTTAAAATTAGAGATAGATTCTTAAAATAAACATCTTATAAGTGTTTTTTGGGTCCCGTACACATTTAGACTCTCTCTCTCTAACCATCTCATAAGTGTTTTCTGGGTCCTGTACGCATTTAGACTCTCTCTCTCTAACTTCCCTTTCTCTCTCTTCGTTGTTCTCTCCTGCTATTCTCTCACGATTTTCCTTGAGATTTCTTCATGTTTGTTCAGTTACATTTTTTAGCTATGACGATTTGAGTATAAATCTTAAGTTAAATTTGAGTTATAATTTGAGTTTGTATTTAATTGTGTATATTTGAATTATTATTTGAGATGATAATCTTTTTGAGTTTGTATTTAGGTGAATTAAAACTTGAGTTTATATTTTGATAATAAAAACTCAATGATGATAAAAAATTTAAATAGGATATATGGATGAGGTTTTATTTATCTTTTCGTTGTAATGTTTATTAACTTGAGTTTGAATTTAATAACTTGAATTGAAGAAGAGTAAATTTAAATTTTTATCCCAAATTCAAGTTAAAATTTTAGTTAAAATATGAATATTTAGTCGATGGATTCAGAATTATAATTTAAAATTATTTTTAATTTACATGTATTTTTTATTAGAAAAAATACTGGCTGTAGGCTCCACCTTCGAAGGCGACAGGGCCTTCACTACAACCAGGAGTTCCGGTCCATTCCGTAGCTCCGACATCCCAACACGCTGAGGGTTCCTCTTCAAAGGTTTACCCTCAACCTCCTCGTAGGTAATGCTCTTGGTCTGCCTTCAATCAGTTTATCAGCCTAAGGCTTCGCTCTATTACCTGTGTTGTAAGCTTTCCAGTCTTTGAAGTAAGGTTCAATGCTAGGAAAAATGTTTTTGCTTCGCGGGTCTATCACCCCAATTGGTTTAGTTAGGAAATTTTTTATACGAGTATGCCCCTATCCCGTAAGCCTTCCATCGTTGCAAGCCCCTTCCATTCGGCCCAAGCTTTCTTTCGATTACGTCTGCTTCCTATTCTGTTATTCCCTTAGCCTTAGTTAGTCGTTTAGTCAAGTACGTATGTCCCTTTCGAATCGTTCTATCATTCGAAGTAGGAGCTGGGGTTGCGGGCAGAGAACTATTGGTACAGCGAGTTCATGTGCTTGCAGTTGGGTTACTACCATCCCCCTAACCTTTAGTATCACACTTTCTTGCGTCTGCTTGCTACTCCCACTTTCGCTTCCTTGATCGTCGTTGGTCCTTCTTTTGCCAGCCAGCCTCCACTCTTTGCCGATGCTTTTTTTTTAGAGTGACGCCGGACAATTAGATCTTGCCTCATCGCCTACCACACTATCTATTGTATGAAGATAGGGGATTGATCTATATCAATCTTTAATTTGTATCTACATATATTGTAATGTAAATATATGTAAATGTACATGTAAATAGCACTCCGATTTGATTTCTTCGCTACACCCATTTTTCTTCCAATCAATTCGAAATAATCCACGAACCACGACATGAATAACACACTTCCATGCATAGAAGTAGTGGACCGGGAATTCCGCATTGCACTGGCTGGACCGAGTTTCTCTTGGGCAACAGCGCCCAAACCGTAATATATGCCGGCAAGGACGGCCGGAGCTATGGCTACTCTCTTTCTCTGCACCAAGAACCCGGCCATCACGAATGTTTCCGGGCGAATGACGTTGCTGCGATTTTTTGGCCTGCCTACCGCTACACGTGGGCGCAGGAAGCTATTTCAATCGGTTTCAAACCTCTCATCGTCCTTTAGTTACTTGAACGATCAAACGGAAAATAAGAGTTTCTCTCTCAATTTTTAGTTACTTAAGGACCTCATTCTTTCTAGTTTACAGATTAATTAGTGTCGTCTTGTACTCAAGTAGTTGTTAAATTTTTTTTTAGTTTGGTGCAAATGAACAAGCCCATCGATTTCTTGCGAGATTTCTGGGTTGATTTCGATCGTGAGGTTGTTCGATCGATTTCGTGTTCTGATTTCGGCTTTGTTTTCTCCGTTTTTCCGGTAAGTTCGTCGATGTCACTGTTCTTTGTTTTAGGTTTTGGTTTTTCATTCTTTTGGTTATGTCTCTGATTTCCTCTTGATTTTCATTCTCCTTTAGTCATGGTTAACACTCCATGGAAGAGGAAGGGCAAGGGCGCTGCTTCTTCTTCTTCTCAGAAGCGTGCTAAAATTGGTGACAGTAAAGATTCCTCGAAGAGAAAGAGGAAAAATTTAGAGTCCCACGCGGGAGAGGAAGATCTACGTGCTCCTCCTCCTATACGGAATTCTTTAAAGGTATTTTCAGTTTTTTCAATTTAGCTCTTTCAGTTTGCATTTACTTTTTTTTTTTTTTAATTCAAAACCTGTTGTAATGTATGCCTTGGAGTATTATGGTTATTTGTAAGTTTGATTGTGGTTTTTTGTGTTTTTGTCTGTGAATCTGGTGTACGAGTTGTCTTTTTTTAATATTTTCAGCATGTATTTTGCTCATAGTTTGCCATACTATGTCTTTTAGTCTAGCAGATTATAACTATTATCTACCCTGAAAGATTATAGTTTTTTTTTGTGTTTTTTTTCTTTTTTCTTTTTGCAGTTATGGGACTATCGTATAGACCCAGATAAAAAAATTCCATAACAGGTTAATGTTTTCGCGTCTTTTTCTGTTATTGAAGAGCTTTACGATAGATTTACTGAGAATCAAAGGGAGCTTTACAGAGAAACTATTTTTGGTCGATTTCTTGATATGTTAAAGTTTAGTAATTAGTGTCAGTTGATGCATGAGGTTCTTTTTCATGTTGTTCATCAAACAAACCCTGATGAGTTGTGGTTCAAATTTGGTGAATCATTTGTAAAGTTTTCTATTGAAGAGTTTGCTCTGAATACTGGTCTAAAGTGTGTGGGAGATTGCAATTTGGTTAGTTATTTAGATAGTTCTACTTCTACTTTGGTTGAA